CGTTACAAAACACCTGTGCGCGTTCGAGCGTCATTTCTGCCCTTTTCCCGCCATTTTCTGACAAAATGGCCGGCGCGTGACTCGAATCTGGATTCTGTAAAATTCATTTATATCGTCCTTTTATCCTATCTGTAAGTTGATATTCAATAATTCGAATAGAGATTAAGAAGATTGAATACTTCTGATTTTAAAGTTCTAACTTATTTTGTATAGTCAATGTTGGATAGGTCTTTTAATAATCAAGCTAAACTAGCTTTATAAGTAACTTGTTGTAATTAGATTGTGGGTTATAGTTATGAGGCTATTTTTCAAATAGAATCTTAAGATCAACACAAAATATCTTTATTGAAAAGAAATAATAAAAGCTAACACCATGAATTTTAATTCTAACCTTAAAAAGGAATAAATGTGTAGTTACTAATAAGCATTTCATAATTTTTCTTTTTTCTAATTAAATAAATGAAGTGCATGCTATAGTTCTCTAAGAGTGCAAATTGTTTGTCATAGACATATTATTTTTAAAAGATATAAATCCTCGTATTTTATTGTATATATGATAAAGCTTTAAATATATCAGTAGGTAATATTTATCGCTATCAACAAAACATTCTCTCCCCACGCAAAGGGAAGTCACCAGGGAATAGCGCCGAATGAAATACACGTCGTACGAGTAGCGATGACATTTTTCCTGATAAGGCAACACCGCAAGTTTTGTTTATGATACGACCGCCATCTTGTCTTCGGCGCGGATTACCAAAATTCTTTTCATTTCTACTATAAATTTCCTTTCTCCCTCGTTACCGTTATTTAACTGGACACAAAAATTTAAGTAAGTGGCCATTTGTCATCAACATTGTCTATGGTTATAATTGATGTAATTAAATCAATACCACAGACTATCATAAATATTTATAATCTGTGTATCACGCCCCATCCTGTTTGAGTGACGTTAAATAGAGACACATTCATTTTATGATAGGGATCTCTATACATTATTACATGGCGAGCCTTCATGAAACATTAATGTTTTCCCGCGCTACTGACAGATGGGCCAGAGACACACCGAGTGACATCCAGTGACATCTAGTTGTCGACGTAACAAATTGCCATGGGAATTCTTACTTTCGTTTCGCTTGGAACGAATAAAGTTATGCGCTTCTACTTTTGTGAAGTGTCGAAATATATGAGTACTGCGGAATTTTCGTTGTAATTTATCTGCGATTAACTGATTTCTATACCATATCGTTGATATTTGAATCTTTCAATTTATTCTTACTCAATCGCGCTTGTTTTAATGACAGTTAATTCTGTTTCTTTTCATTAGTTCTAATCCTTAACATCACTACAAACCCCAACCATCAGTCAAAATGGCAAACATCAAATAGCCATAAAACACCATGGATTAAAACCCATACATGTATCAGAATTCAGTGCTAAGGTTTTCGTTCAGGATGACGTCATAAACAGTCATTAACATTATAAGGAAAATGCGCACTGTTGTATTAATATAACATTCAACTAAAAATGTAATTTTTTATGCTAGATTTTTTCAATACAACTATTTATTATAATACCGATCTTGCACCAAGTATGATTTTTCCTGAAGGTTTGGAAAAATCATGCATTTAAGGGTTAACTATCACAAAGTCGTTGAAATTGTTCGGGTATCAGTTTATTTGACATGCTGCCACACTAGACTCGAAGCTCGACTCCTTTAAAATCGATTTAGTAAGAGAAATCTACACTAAAGGACTCCTTAAGTAAGCAATGAAGACACAATCTTCATTTCATCATCATCATCTTTTTGACCATATCGCACTCAGCGTGGTCTGCGCGTTATGTTTTTAATTAGAAAAGTTTTTGGCTTAACATTTTATGCAAGATTATTGCCAACCCTACTTAAAAACAAACTACATAATCTTCTGTGTTAAAAACCTGTCATTTTAAAACCACATCGTAGATATCATATTATAGCTGTACCCCAAATGTGATAAGAGATCAGCTTTTACGTGAATAAAATTCAAGCACAAATACGCGCTAGCTATTAATTAATTTCAACATAAAACTTAATTTATCAACCATAAAAGTAGAAACGAGTTTAAGATAAGGGGTGTATTTTTTAAATTAGTGTTCCGCAAAGAGATTTTACTAAATGTTTCGAGTGGCGCAGCTTTTAACTAAAAAAATATGTCGCAATATTTTTAGCGTAGCACCTTTGCCGTTTTGAGATCGCGATGTTATGAATGGAGGAGATTTTAAGAGCTGGGTTATTCTGCGGCGTGTCCGCTATAGTAATCCGCTGAGGACGCGCTCGCGGCCGTCTCGTACCACCCACCATGAGGGGGGTATACCGCGACCGACAATACTTGATGTTTGAACATTTTTAGGTTAATTTTTAACCTAAATATTTTTCGTTTCAACTTTTAATGTTCTCAGATATAAAAAAGCGAACTGGCACTTGGAATTTTTAAATTTAATGTTTTTTAAAGGCCTATTACCTGTACGTTAATAGACAATTGGTTTT